GAGTCGGCGAGTTCATTTGGAGGTAAACTGGAGGCGTTACTACATGAAGCCGAACAACAAATAAGAAATCAAGGAGGTGAGAGTGAAATTCTGTCACAGTTAGGAGAATACAGGCGACTAACAGTACGTTGTTTTATTAAGGGTTTGAAAGACAATAGTTTAAAGCATAGGTTTATTGGGTTAGAGAATGATCCTATCCAGAAACTAATATTTATTGCAGAATCAGCCGAAGAATTATTGGGTGAATCACGTTCAAATATAAACATGTCCACCACAGAGAATCGAACAGAAATGAAATGTACGTTTTGTAAACAAGACGGACATGGATGGGCATACTGCCCAGAAAGACAAAATACGCCATACTGTACAAATTGTGGAGTATATGGGCATGAAAATACCCAACTGTACAAATTGTGGAGATATGGGCATGAAAATGGCCCTGTAAGAACTCCATGGAGACGGGACACGATACAAAGGATTGTTTCAGTAGACTAAACAAATTGTATTGTACTTTTTGTGGAGTGAGAGGACATGAACAGAATAAATTTTGTAAATTGGGACATACAGGACGTGGGAACCAAAATAACTACAGTAACGTGAGACAAGAAAGGGACTGGCAAAATCATTCAGTACCTTTAAAGCACAGTAATCCAAACTTTAACAGACCAAGTGGAAGACCTTTGAGTGCAAATCTTAGATGTTTTAGGTGCGGCAAAGAAGGACATTTTGCAAAAACTTGCAGAATAACAGTACCAAATCCGTCGGGAAACTTCAACCGGCCCAGTCTAAGACATTAGACTGGACTGCCGTAAATTCAAAAAGTAAATGTCAATTTAATTTAGGACCTGCACGAATAACTAAAAGTAACAGCAACAACAATGTTCAGAACCGATCGAATACAAATAATAAGATGAAGAATTTAGGAGCCAAAGCGGTTAATTCAAGGAATCATGGTATAATCACGATAAAACATAAGGAAGTGCAAGAAAATTTGACCAACCAAATAGGGTTTAAAAATTCAGAGGGAAAAATTAGTTATTTGAAAAAGCCGAAATTGAATAATATAGTGTTGAGGGTGAACAAATATATGTTCAGTATTTGGACATGTATAGTTACATTACTAATTACATATCGTTCAATACTATCGGATTACTGGAAAGAAAAATCAGAGTGGGTGTTTGAACAAATAGGAGTTCTACGGGCAAAAGGAGCGAGTTACAATGCCAAAGGTAGCATTAGTCAATCGTTTGATGATGCCTATGTAGAAGTACCTTGCGAACGTGCAGTGGGAAATAAACTCCGACTTTTAGTTGACTCGGGAGCAGACACCAGCCTTATAAAAACAGAGGCGTTAATCGATTTAAAAGATATAAACACCAAAGACACAAAAGGTCTTACAGGAGCTTTTGGAGGCAATATAAGTACATTGGGTACGGTCAATATTGAACACCGAAAATTTCCAGCTCTACAATTCAAAATGCATGTAGTGCCAGTAGGTAGCCAGTTACCAGCAGACGGACTTCTAGGTAGAGATGAACTGTGGAACCGGTCTACTACAGACACAATTAAAAAGGTTTTAAAATTTTTTAAGAATAAAGAGGAATTAGCTACTTTACCACTGGTAAGCATTGTAGATCATGGTCGGATTTGTATAGCAGAAAGCATGACAATCCCAGGTAGATCAACAATGATTATTCCAGTAAAAGTAGTGCCTAAAGAAGGAACACTCGTAATACATAAAAAGGAAATAGTTAGAAATGTCTATTCAGGTGAATGTTTAACAGAAGTAAAAAACGGAATAGGTTTTGTAAGAATTTTGAATGCAAACAACTATGCAGTTGAAATGAATAGTGAAATTGAATTAAAGGGCAGTGATATGAATGAGTACTATGAGTACAATGTCCCTAATGTTAATTTGAACAAAGAAGTAAACTTACAGAAAAGGTACGGAAAATTACTGAAATTAATAAGATTGGATGAGCGTTTAAACAATGAAGAAAGACGGTTAATTACGCAGACAATTAAGGAATATAACGATGTATTTCACTTATCAGGAGATAAACTGTCCTATACATCAGTATTGGCACACGAAATTCCAACAAGTCATGATCAAATACCGGTAAATCAACGACAATATAGATTACCAGAAGCACATAAGGAAGAAATTAATAAGCAAGTTAGTGAAATGCTAGATGAAGGGATAATAACAAGGAGTAAATCACCATGGAACTCTCCTATCATCCTTGTACCAAAAAGGTCAGGTATAGATGGGGAAAAGAAATGGCGTCTCGTGGTTGATTTTAGAAAATTAAATGAAAAAACAATTAAACAGGTGTTTCCAATTCCTAGAATTGATGAAATTTTAGACCAACTAGGATGCAGTAGATATTTCTCAACGCTGGATTTGGCTAGTGGCTATCACCAGGTGATGGTAGACAGTAAAGACAGGGAGAAAACGGCATTTAGCACAGGTCTAGGACATTTTGAATTTCTTAGAATGCCATTTGGTTTAACAGGAGCACCCGCAACTTTTCAGCGAATTATGAATAGTATTTTAACAGGATTACAAGGGATAGATTGCTTCGTCTATCTCGACGATATTGTTATCTACGGAAGGAATTTAAATGAACTCGACCAAAGGTTAAGGGGAGTATTACAAGCACTAAAAGAAAATAATTTAAAATTACAAACGGAGAAATGTCAGTTTTTAAGACGAGAAGTCGTTTATCTTGGGCATAAATGTTCGGACAAAGGAGTAATTCCAGATCCAGACAAAACCAAGTGTGTTAAGTCTATCCCAGCACCTCGAAATGTTAAGGAACTGCAATCATTTTTGGGACTTGTGAATTATTATAGGAAATTTATCCCACAAGCAGCGAGTGTGTGTTTACCACTTAATAAATTACTAAGGAAAGGAGAAAAGTTCGAATGGAACGACAGTTGCCAAGAAGCAATGATTAGACTGAAGGCTGCAATAACGAAGCCTCCTATACTTCAATATCCAGATTTCTCAAAACCTTTTGTTTTAACAACTGACGCTAGTAATGAAGCGTTAGGTGCAGTATTGTCTCAGGGAGAAGTAGGTTCTGATTTACCACTTTATTTCGCAAGCCGTGCTCTGAGTAATACTGAGAAAAGATATTCAACTATAGAAAAGGAATTTCTTGCGATAGTTTGGGCAACTAGGAATTTTAGGTCTTACTTATTGGGAAGACATTTTAAAATATTTACTGACCATAAGCCATTAAGAGGTATAGCAAATCTTAAAGACCAAGACACACGTTTGGGAAGATTCCGATTGAAATTGTTGGAATACGATTTTGAAATTTTGTACAAACCAGGAAAAACCAATAAAAACGCGGATGCTCTGAGTCGGCTACCAATAGCAGTAGTTACGAGAGGAAATAAAAGAGCAACAAATCTGAAGGAAAACAAAAATAAAATGGAACAAAATGAAATAGAAGAAGTGGAAGATACGAAGGACCAAACGAAAGAAGATTACGCGGTATTTCTAACCAATAAAAAAGATATCCAAGAAGTGTTAAAGAAATTCCACGACTCACCTATCGGAGGACATCAAGGAGCTGTTAAAACGTATTTCCGAATACGAAAACAGTTTAAATGGGCAGGCATGCAAAGACAGATAAAAGACTACGTAGGAACATGTCAACAATGCCAGAAAAACAAGAGTTCTAGGGTAGAGAAAATGCCAATGGTTTTGACGGATACCCCTCAAAGACCATTCGACAAAGTATTTATGGATATTGTAGGCCCACTACCTACTACAGAGAATGGGAATAAACTAATTTTAACATTTCAGGATGATTTTTCTAAATATTTGGTATGTACAGCATTACAGGATGGGGAAGCTACGACAGTAGCAAGGAAATTCTTTAACGAAATAATTTCAAAATTTAATATACCAAAAGTTCTCGTGACAGACAATGGGACTAACTTCACATCAAAATTATTTAAAGAAATCTGCAAAATTCTTGGGGTTAAAAAGATACAAACTACTCCATATCATCCACAGGCAAATGGCTCTTTGGAAAGAAGTCATCGTCCTTTAGCGGAATTTTTAAGAAGTTTCGTTAAATTGGATGGATCCAACTGGGATGAGTGGTTGCATCATGCGATGCATGTCCATAATAACACGGTGCATTCTGCAACAAAGCAGACACCATCAAAAACACTATTTGGGTTCGATTTCGAGATTCCTATAACATTAAAAAGAAAACCAACACCATTATACAACCACGACGATTTTTCAAAAATTCTGAAATATCAAATTCAACGCTCATACGACGTGGTTCGAAAAAATCAGGAGTTGGCAAAACTTAAAGCAAAGATAAACTATGATAAGAATTCTAAAAGTAGAATGTTCAAAGTAGGAGATAGGGTATGGTTGAAGAATACAAGTAGAAGAAATAAGTTTTCACCTATTTGGGTGGGACCTTTCCCAGTAACAGAAATTACTAGTCCAGTAAATGCTAAAGTAATAATTTCAGGAAGGGAAAGAGTATTCCACAATAATCTACTTAAATTACATAAAAGATAGACAAAATTATAACTATTAACAAGTTTTTTTTTAAATTTAGTCTTTAGTTTTAATTTTTAGGAGTTGTAGGTTTACAATTAGGAGATGAAGGTTCCTGTTTTTCCGGGGGGAAAAGGAAAAAAAAAAAAAAAGAAAAATGAAACTAGAAAACTGAAATAAATATTTTTTGTTTGACTCAACATTTTCATTATTTATTATAATCTAAATAAATTTTTGACTGTTAAGTAGTTTATAATAACAATCATAATAAACAACAGAACACAATAATAAAGAAATTTACAAATTTCAATTATCAAGAGTAAACATTTCTTAAAATATTTTAATAAGAATAAACTTTTTGACTAATAAGTAGTTTATAATAAGAATCATAATAAAGAAATTTACAAATTTCAAAAGTAAACATTTCTTAAAATATTTTAATAAGAATAAATTTTTAAGTAGTTTATGAAGAGTAAACATGTCTGGAAATATTTTTTGACGTATACAAATTGTTATTTTTTTTTAATATAATACATATAAGAATAATTTTATGAAAAAATTAAAATGTAATATAGATTTAAGATTTTAAAATTTAAATAAAAAATTTAAAATGTAAACCTAAATTTGATGCAAGTTTAATATAGACCGTTAGATATATAACATTGTGTACCGCAATGTTCTTCATAGGGGGAAGGAATGTTGTGAGTTAAATATTTATTTTATTTAATTTCACGGGTTTTTGGCAGTTTTTCTGTATGGTAGTGTGTACGATCTTAGGTGATCGTACATTTCCCTAAAAATAGGCAAGGTTATTTGCATCTGGGCAATTGTTGACTAGAACCAAAGCAGCAGACCGTCAGTTCGACGATAAGAAATGCTGAGTTTTGGTATTTGGTTAATAATTGGTGTCACGATGTAAGTGACTTTGAAATTGTAAATACGGAAGAATTGCAAAAATATGTAGAGCATTCTTATTAATAATAAAACTTTGCAAATTTAGCAAAGTAAATTATGAAACTATGAAAAAACCCAATTAGGTAACTAGGGTAATTTGAAGGTCATATATTGGATTTTTGCATCAAGTTTAGGTATATAAGATAGATTTAAAACCACAAAGAGATATAGTTAAGTTGCAGTTGGAGTTGTAGCTGAAGTGAAAGTTAGAGTCTAAGTTAGAGTCTAAGTTAGAGTCTAAGTTGGAGTAAAAATTAAGAGTCAAAGAGGAGTCAAAGACGGGAGTTGAAAGTTGTGTAGAAATAGAAAATTATAAAAAACAGTGGTTAAACGAAGTAGTGGTTAAAATTTATATAATGTACACTTAGCCAAATACAAGGTGAGATGAAAAAACTGCAACAAAGTAAAACGCCATAATTTTTTCATTTTTTTTAAATTTTATTGAATGAAAGCAAAAAATGTCGGAAATAACATCAAATTTGAGAATCGGTTTAGAATTGTTCGAATTGGCCACCTTTGGCACGAACTATGGCCTTCAAACGGCCAATGAAACCATCACACGCTGCCCGAAAGTGGCTCTGCGGTATTTTGTCCCATTCTCGGCGAAGCGCTTGCTTGAGATGATCGACACTTTGGTATTTTTTAGTGCCAACCTTGCTTTCCAAAATACCCCAGGCACAATAGTCCAACGGATTGGCATCCGGAGATTTTGGTGGCCATTGTGCGGTGGAAATGAAGCGAGGAACCTCATTTCTTAACCATTCTTGGATGGCGCGTGCTGAGTGCGATAGTGCTGAGTCCTGTTGGAATGTCCAAGGTCTGCGGCCGAAATGTTTGCGTGCCCAGGGCTTCAGAACTCCCTCCAAAATATTTTCGCGATAGATTTGCGCATTGAATTTGACACCACGGTCGATGAATACGAGCGGCGAGCGACCATCGGCTGTTATGGCGGCCCACACCATCACCATGGCCGGCTTTTGAGTTGTGATGGCCAACAGAAGTTGCAAATTTTCAGCTGACCTCTCTGGCAAGTAAACACGATCATTTTGTTTGTTTACAAACTGCTGGATAACGAATGGTTTCTCATCGGAGAAAACCAAATTCGGCAGTTCACCACTTTCGGCCAAGCGAAACAACTCTTTAGCTTTTTCGAGTCTAACTTTTTTTTGCGCATCAGTAAGATCTTGCACTTTTTGGAACTTGAATGGCTTTAGTCCAAGCTCATTTTTCAATATTTGCCGAATGGCATATTGCGATATGTTCAGCTCACGAGCCATTTTTCGTCCACTGCGACGCGGATTTCGTTCAATTCGCTTTTTCACTTTTCGAACCATTTCTGCCGATGTTGCTGTTTTTTTTCGTCCACTTCCTTGACGTCGGGCTACGCTACCAGTATCATGGTAACGAGCGATGGTACGAGACACAAAACATTTATTCACTTCTAAATGCTGGAGGGCTCTAACGATAGCCACTTGTGGTTTTCCAGCCAAATGCAAAGCAATCACACTATCACGCTTGAATTCCATCACAAATAACTTTTTTTTTGAAAAATTCCCACCAAAATGCTTTTGTGCGCTTGTAAACAATATAATGAGCTGTCACTAGAATAAATCTGACAGCTGTGGGACGAGCGGTTTAGAAATGACAGCAGTCTGAAGTTGGTTGCAGTTTTTTCATCTCACCTTGTATA